GGGGAAAGGAGGTAGGCGCGTATCACACACACGCTCGCGCGATTGATAAAAAAGGAAGTGAGACGGGAAGAACTGACACATTCATACCCTTATCCAAGCAATCGACACTCAATTCTTCCGCTCATCAGGCACAGAGGAGGCGCATACACACACGCATACCCAGAGAGCCCTCACTGAAACCTTCAACGTCCATAGATTGTCATACCCGACATGCATAACAGACTACCCAACTTTTGGAGTCATGCACACATCACACGGGGACAAAGCATTGAAAGCAGCAATGGAAAAAAAGCTTTGTCTTTAAAAATACAAAATTCTCACGACTGGCCACTCCGGGCCCAGTCCCCCAACCAATCCGTCAAGACCACCAGCAACCATAGCCACAAGGCCTTGCCGCTGTCGGCGTCTGATCTCAACTACCGCTCCGTCCCTCCGACTGTCTGACCCCCAAGTCCACCGCTAACTCCGTCACCTGCTGTCACTCCGCCCACCATGGGGCACATCGAGCCTTTCCGGCGGCGCCGGCTTCACGCATAGCTTGCGCAGCTTACAGCCGAGATCCAAGAGAGTGAGAGGAAGGGTTTGCGAGAATTTATAGCGCGGAAGGTGGCGGAGAGGCTGCGCAAAGCATGGGGTGTACATGTGCAGGACAGAAGAGGGGCAGACTTTCCAGAAGAGTTGAAGGAGGCAAGTCGAATGGTCTGCGTGATTGGGGTGGTCGTCCAAGTGGGGTGCGCTTCCCCCGGCCACCACATTGCCCCGATCATCCCAACCAGACAGCCAATCATTCACAGGGAAAGGAGGAGGGGATCAGACTTCGCTCAGAGGGATGACGAAGAGGCATCCAGTTTGGAGATAATAGCAAGAGGGGAAGATGGAGCAGGAATGCACAGTGGGAGGACAGGTTTACGCGGCGCGCAAAAATTCAAAACTCTACTCCCACTAATTCCCAGCCGTTTCTTGAATTCTCTGGCGCGGCTGGCGGCCGCTAACCGGCCACGCAAGACCCGAATTACATTTTCTACTCCTCCACCCCTCTTAAACAAAAGGAAAAGGAAAGAAAAAGAAAAATGAAGCACCGTTTTTCCCATTATCTTGAATCCGTACTCTGGGGTTCCACGTGGATTTTCCCTTAGGGGTACGGGAAACGGCCGAGTACGGATCCTGGCTCATCACAAGCTAGCTCAACGGACGTTGAGCCATCATTACCTCGTTGTGGATGGACACTCTGACAGATAAGAGAGGACATTGGTTTCCTTTATTTGGGCAGTGAATGCACATAGCTCAGAATACGGTCCATGTTCGTTCCACGCAGTACACGGAGAGTTCGGCATACTTAGAAGAGTTTCACTGGAGGAGATTCGTTTTCTCCATTTTTTTTATTTTTTTTTTTAATATGGACAAAAGCAGATTTCCCCATTTGTTTTCTCCATTTTACTTCTTAAAAAATGTGGACAAAAAAGCTTTCAGCAGCATTTCCTTCCCTTTTTTGGCACATTTGCTTTAAATTTTTTATTTGCAATAACTGTGTCACACCGTTGAGCTGAGCTAGCTCAACGTCGTAAGTGGGACATAGCCCCCAGTCCCAATTATTGACACTGGTCTGCACTGCCCTACTCTCCAAATGGGAAAAAAAAAAAAAAAAAAAAAAGATGACTGCACCATCAGCTAGAGGAGTCTCCAAACCTTTGTTTTTCTTTCGTTCTTTTCCCTTTTGTTTTTTATTAGACTCCTTTTGTACGGCATCGGCCCCTACGGACCATCAGCCCGTACAGACCATCGGCAGGGTATGCTGGCGGTGTTGCCACGAGCAACCACCACCGCCAGCAACCCAGAATCGATAGCTCCAGTCTATTGCTGGGGAGCAGCACCTGCTGGGAAACGCAGACACCGTCCTTTTGACTCCCTTACACAAAATTGTTATGATTCGAAATGTCAACATGATTGGAGGTCTGCCTCTTCAGCCTTAAAGTTGGCCGCGGGGAACTTCGAATTGAAGGTAGATACAATCCCCATTATTTTGTGTCTTTCAACTTCAATTTCGTGAGTAGGGGGGAGGGAGTCCCTATGTCCCCAAGGAATCACACATCTACCTAAAGGGCTGGCAAGAGTGGCGATTGTCAATTGATACACACCTGTGCCACAACTATTAAACCCGAAACCAGTTACTATCGGTCAAGGCAGCCGGCCGTTAACGCAGAAGCTGACAAATACTTCTGAATCATAAACTTCATGGCTATCGCTCATAGAAGACGTTCATCCACCATAGCCGCTTGTTGCAGAGAAGATGTTGGATCCACCATCACATATACTAGCCATAGGTGGCAGGAGATGCTCGCATCGACCACCATAGCCACAAGTCGTAGAAGATGTTCTATCTACCATAACCACAGGTGCAGAAACACAATCGGACCACCATAGCCATAAGTTGCAGGAGATGTTTGATGCCCCATTATAGGCACAACTCCCAGAAGGTGTTCGATCCACCATAGCCACAACTTCCAGAAGAAACCTTGGATGCTCTGAGCAACTTCTTAGCCACAACTTCCAGAAGAATGACCTTGGATGCTCTGAGCAACTTCTTACTCAACCGTTTTTTTACGGAAGATGTTCGACCCACCATAGCCACAAGTTCAACTGGTCAGTATCTGCTCGCTCAAGGGCAAGCAACGAAGAACTACGCAAGCAAGTGATTCCGTGACACTAACCTCCTCCTCACACTCTCCTCCATGACGAATCACTATGCCCGGGCTGGTCCAGCCTCCAGGCTCTCGTCCCCAGGAACCCGCGGGAAGGCGCTCGCTAGTGGGCCTAGGCAGGTTTTCACCAGAAAAAAAAAAAAAAAAAAAAAAAAAAAGGGTGGCTCGGGATTGGTAAGAGTTAGTAACATGAAAATGAAAAGCTCGTACATCGAGATGAGATCTCCGGGAAAAACATCGAAACTAAGTGTCAGCAACAGGCATGACCGTATGCATCTGGTCCTCTGGACCAAGCAGATGCAGATCCTGCACCTGGTCGTGTTCACCATTCAGCTGCACATCACGCACCTCCCGCTGGTGCTCTTCGTCGTGGTGGTGGGCACAACTTGTGCCTGTGATGCGGGTGGATGGATATACCAATGATCAATTGATTGCTAAAACCTCACATTGCCTCCAGATGCAGATCACGCACCTGGTCGTGTTCTCCGTTCAGGGGGATACCACGCACCTACTGCTGGTGCTAGCGGTGGTGGAGGTAATGTCTGACACAACTTGTGTCTGTGCTGCGGATGGACGAATGCACCAATCAATGATCAGTGCGAAAACCTCACACCGAGTGCAAAGGGAAGCCGCATGTGCATATCTGGCCGTGTGCACCAGGCATATCCAGATCGTGCACCGGACCGTGATCTCGTCGCAGATGCAGATGACGCACCTGGCCGTCTGGTACATACCGGTTCATAGAACCAGGATGTTGCAGACATGGCGAAATGGGCGGGCAGCGCGTGCGCTTGTCTAGGAAGACAGCCTGGGTAAGAAAAATTACGGGCCGGCTGGAAATGAAGAAACTGTAGCAAAGAGGATTGGATTTAGCGCCTGAATCTGGACGTGTTTGTGGATATGTGCAGTGCACGAACTCCACCAATTGAAATCTGAATCAGCGAATGAACTTCACCAAAAAAACCGGAAAAAAAAAAAAACACGTTTTCTAATCTCTACTTGATAACGTCTCGAGGCCTCACGAATAGATTGGAGCATGTCTTCCAAAAAAAAAAAAAAAAACTTCTGGAGGCCTCAGGCCCCGCGGCCGAGGACCCAATCGTCGCACGGATCAATACATACTGTCTGTTGACCGTAATCGTTGGCCTTCGTCGATCACTGATCAACGGTCGGTATCTCTTGACCCGTGCGAAGGGGACCCCGCCTCGGATGACATTGTGCCATGGACGTGCTTGTCAAAACCGTCAAAACCGTCGACCGTTGAGTGTTGATGATGCAAAGGTTTTGCGAAGGACGGAACTCCCTTAAAAAAAAAAAAAAAAAAAAAACTAACAGTCGTGGTCCGATCCCAGAAAGGAAAAATAAAAAATGCTCAACCTCCGCATTATCAGTTGTGGAGATCCCGATATGGGTATGCATACCCATATCCTGAGGCCAGAATCTGGTATGCACAGCGCTGGGCTCCCCGAGGAAGCCCCCTGGCCTGTGTGATCATGGTGCAGCACCCCTTCTCCCGCTGCATCCAAATTGGCAACCCCACGATCGAGGGAGGAGTGGGAGGAGGAGGGGGAGGAGGAGGAGGAGGGGGTTCGTTGTCGCGGCAGTCTCTGCAAACTGGGCTCCGCGAAAAGACCAGATTCTGAGGCCTCCATCTGTTTTCACAGATCAGATGAGATCGACGGTCGAGGTCGCTCGTGCGTTCCCGGCGATGGTGGCGTGTCCTGATCCGTGTCCTCCACAACTTCGGCTATGGATGGCGATGGCTGACAATACACACGCCGGCTGGGTGGCGTCCAGCAGCCTGACCCTTGCTCACCCCCTTCTGCTCCCTCGGGTCGGTTGTCCAATGAAGAGAGAACGCCTCCTCCCACTGCCAAGGTGAACACTGCCCAATATGCGCCTGTCAAGGAGCCTCCCATGTCCTCAGCGTACTGCCAACACCCACGTCAACCATCCAACAACCACGTGTCATCGCCCAATTAGTCCCAGCAAACCTTTTTTCTTTTCTCTTTCTCTTTCTTCTTTTTTTTTTTCTTCTTTTTTCTTTTCCATCTGCGTGCATTCCGACAGCTGGCTGCATCATGCATCCATTGACGTGAAAATCCGCCGTCATATATATCGTCTATATATTGTCACATTGTGAATCAGAGCGCAAAAAAGGGAAAAGAAAAAAGGAAAAGGAAAAAAGGGAAAGGGAAGGAGGTAAGGAAAGCTCCACCTGT